AACAGTGGTGATTTCCTAAGATTCTGGGCAAGAACTTCCTTCTTCCTATTTCACATGCTTTGAGAGAATTCTAAGATTATGAAATATTACTTATGTAAATTTCAGCCATTTTACTTCTTTGACCTCCTTTCTAACTAGCAAATTATAGGCTGCATTTTTCTGTGCATTATTTGTTGGAAAGAAAACATTTTTTTTTCCATTTATAAATGTATGTTTGTTCCCATTTCATGGAAACAATGAAAAATGTGAAACTCCCTTATTTACTGATTCTTGGAACCTTTCACACACCAGAGCTCAGGTTTAGCCTCTATAGCACAAAGGTTTTCAAGGTGAGGTTTGACTCAGTAGGCCTTTCAAAGTCACATTTGTCCATTTCTTTTTCGTGCATATACCCCCAAGCAGGCACAAATGCCTGTAATGCTGAGAACCACACCTAACAAAAGGGCGATTGCATCACCGGCTTCTACTGCTTCCACAACAGGCAGCACCAAAAGCAGTGACATGAGGACTAACGACAACTGTGTTGAAACTGAGGTCATGATGTTGGAATCTGGAGGCTGAAGGTTCCTAGAAATTAAACATGGAAACAAAAAGGAACCATTAAAAATTCCTCCCTTTTCAAATGACAAAATGAACACATGACAAATAACAGGCCAGCCAATCTTTTGGACACTTTATGAATCATTTCCAATCCATCTCCTCATCTTATAGGTGGAAAAACAGAGGGACGTTAAAGACAGTAATTTGAGGCTCATCTCCCTATCTCATGATAACAATCTAATTCCAGGAATTTTCCACGATAATGCCAACACCTTGTGCATCAACCAAACAAAAATTGAACAGGAATTCATAATTAAGAAAAAAAGAAAAAATGCACGAGCCACTAACTTGGAAACTTAAAATATCCCAGTGGGTAAAAATTATACATTTTCTCAGGGTCTCTCCCATCCAGGAAATGCAGACAAATTTGGCAAAAGTCACACAACATATAACTTTGCGAAGTTGTGGGGAATTAATAAGACTTACCAAAGAAATGGTATATATAGAATTCTATCTGACTTGAAATTTTCCCTTCCTGGAGCTCCGGATGCTGAGATTAAGAGGTTCCACGTGACACGACCTATTATTAGCATGGGGGGTGGGGAGGGGGCGGAGAGAAGGATTTAAAAATTAATTATTATTACTATTATTATTTTAAAGAGGCAGCTAGAGTCAGTGCAGAGCGTGGAGGCCATATGGACAGTAGAGGGACAGGTAATGAGGAGAGAAAACAGTCTGTCCAACAAGGAACTAGACTTAAAAGTTGGTCAGTTCACCCACACAAGAAAAGGTAAAAAGAAACAGAACAGACAGATAAGTTCATTTCAGGACTTGATAATAAGATTTGAAAAAGAATTCCTACTTTGGAACGGCAAGGCCCAAATTTGCTCCTGTTTTACAAATACACTGGTGCAACTAAGTATCCGTCGGAGACGAGTTCGTACATTACCTTCCAGGAAGCAGCCATTACAGGAATGGCGAGGAGGGCGGAGTCTCCAAACTACATTTCCCACAATCCCTGCCGCCGCCGACTCCCATGATGCCCCGGCGCGTTCCCCCTGTAAGTGGCAGTGGGCGTGACGGTCACGCTCTAGCGGAGGCGAAAAGTGGCGAACGCGCGGGGCTTTCTTTCACTCCCCAGTTTTACTGTTAAATGCATGGTTTCGTGTGTTTATAGAAAAGCTCACTTCAAAATAAAAGAAATGATAGCAAGGTTTCTACCCTGTTGAGTCTGTAAGGCGCACTTGTAATTCTGTCTTTTTCCTCGACTGAAATGACGCAGCGGGGAGAGAACCCGAGTAGAGCCCTCTGTTCCGGATGCTTTTAAACCAGCGGCTTCCAGCGTTTCTGAAGCAGGAAATCTCTGTCACCATCTTCCTAATGAACCATATGCCATTTATTAATTTTTTAATCAATGGGGAAAAGGCGCGGTTAATAAGGCATATCATAAAAGGTTAAACATCTGTAGTGCAAAAAAGGATTTAGGAAAAGTGGGTTTAGCCCTATTGCAGAAGATCTCTCAGGATTCAGGTCCTAAAGTGACAATCTATTCAAGAGTGCACTGCGGTGATTCCTTCCCAGCTATGTTTTTGTGAAACCTCTGCTCCGAATGTCCCTACATATTTATGAAAAGATGTAAAAATACTGCTTTTAATTCATAAAACAAGAATTAGTTATTTGTATATGTAAGTCGTAACCTTTCTGAAAGATGCTCTTTCAGTAGTCTAATAACTGTGAACTCCTTCCTGAACCTTTGTAGTCATCTGATCTTCTGAACTCTTTCATATTCACTGATTTGAAAATTTATTTGCTGTCCTCACATTATAAATTATTAATGATGAGGGTTGGGTGTGAAGCCACCTGCCTGATCTGAAAGTCCCGTGGTTCAGTCTGTTAGATAATGCAGGTACATTCAGTTCAATGCCCATAATTAGCATGTATTCTTGTGTTGTCAGTTACCCTTTTTCTTACACGTTCCTAGTCTCTCTAGCGAAGATTTATATTCTTGGCTCCTAATAGGCACCCAGCAGGTGCTCAGTAATGTTGCCTAATAATAATAATGATTTGATTAGATAAATGTGCCAACAAAATCTTATGAGAGACCAAGAGGTGCCAAATAAACCAAACCAAGGTGACTAGAAAATTGGAAATCTGAGAATAACTGCACAATAACGTCAACATTGTTTCTCTAACCTTGATTATTTTAACAAGGTTTCGTTCATTGCATCCTTTGTTTTGAGCTACTTTTGTGCCTTTGTAATCAATTATATTTGGAACAGGAGCTATATTTTTATGGCTTCCAAAATATTCTCTCATATCCTACTGTGAACATTTTGTTTTTCCCTACATGTTTATTTTTCCTTATGTGTTTATTTTAGTTAGCTAAAGTCAGCAGAGACTAGTTTAAAGTTAGTATTGCTACAGACTTGTTTCTAGGCATGTCAACATTAAAGATACTGGTTTGGTTTTAAGTTTAAAGAGTCTGTAAATGGCAAGATACTTTCTCTTTAAATTATAATGGTTTCTATTAGTTTGTGATATATATTATATTTGGAAATGTCGATCTCGGGGGGCGGGGTTCCAATATTAGCTGATGTAGTTGCAAGGATTAATTTCTGGAGTACCACGAATATGATATCTCCTTCACTTCTTTGACCTGCTCCTACTGTGTGATTTTTAACATGTCTTCACTCTGTCTCAGTGAACTGTTATTTCCTAGCTGTAAACCTGATTAGATATTTTGGCTAGATTGCTGACCGGGATAATAACTGCCGTGTTGCACATGTGTGGTCTGTCTTCTAAAAAAGGCGATGATAGATGCGCAGCTGCTTCTGTGTCCAGCATCGACTAACCACAAGTGCTGCCTGTGAACATCTCTGGTAGCAATGTGAAACGCCAATTTTCTGAAGCAATGCTACACTCCCATTTTTCCCAAGCTACGTGAATGCTTCTACAGACTTCTATGTAGTTGTTCTTTTGACATTAAGTGTCTAGGGTTATAGAATCCAGAATTTAGTCTTTTGATTCAAACAAATCTGTGCCTACATCATCCTTTACTAAAATAGAGATTAATGGCATCAATGATACTTGAAGAACTTTAGTTACTTAACTGAGCAGTGGAGAGCAAAATTTTCCATCAGATGTTACCCAGAAATGGTTTCAGAAAAAAAAAAAAAGAAGTGGCTTCTGCTCATTTTTCTGTTAGAAGTGTCATTGGTAGACCCTGAAGGAAGGCACCTCTGGGATCCATCAGAGGATGCAGGACAGACCAATATCAGGATTTTGCAATGACTGGTGTGTGTCAGGGAATTTATAAAACCCAGACTTCCTCATTAGCAATTGACCCAAGCCAAGTGAGTCAAAATATTTTACTGGAGCTTCACAATTAAAAAAAACCAACCCAGACCTAGTCAGTATTTCCCATAATTAATAGGACATTAATCACTGAGAATGTTAGAACTAACTACTCATTAGGCCAAAAGGATGGGATAAGCTACACTTTCCAGAGCTGTTCAACTATTGCAGAGAACGTTTACTGAGGCTAAATACCTCTTGTACTAGCATTTACGGAAGTGTATGGGAGAGGTGTAAAAGGTCATTTTGGGCGCAGTTCCAGGCACCACCTAGAGCCCATTATGTATATGGTCCTTCCTCCCACCAGTGAACATCAGTTGTCTGTGGGAATCAATCATACGCGCAAGCTTGTGGAGGATGGGGAAGTAGAGAGACCCCACTCATAGGCACGACAGATTCCACTTTTACTTATATTTCTGACCTTCTTGGAGTAGGTTAAAAATTACTGGATGCGACAAAGTTCTAGTTTTGAAAAGTTGTGATGTTATCTATATAGCACTTTATCCATGATAATGGACTGATTAAGGCAGGGTTTGGGGATCATCAGAGGTTGATTCCAAATTTACCTCTGCCACTTTTTAGTTCTGTAAACCTGTGCAAATTATCTAAGTTTTTGAAACTTGAGTTTTCTCATCTGTAATAAGGGGATCACCAATCTTCATAGGGTTGTTAATGCAGATTAAATGAGGTGACATGTAAAGTGGCTCAGTGTGGTCAGTGTCAGTGCCACTATTATTGGCAACAGATTAGATTTTTAGACATGGAAGTAGCTGATCATAGAGTATTTATTAAGTGCTACACAAGGAAATTTAAAATCAGAATTAGCTTCCATCATGAGAGTATGAACAAACATTTATTATGGAAAAAAACATTTTCTTAGAAAACAGGGTTTCATGCTGCATAGGGTCAGATTGACATTTATATTTAACAAACACTTAAAATAGTGACTAATGTACACCAGTAACTATTCCACACATTAACAAATATAAGCCCCTCTACTCCTTAAAATTATCCTGTGAACTAGATACTATTGTCATTCTCCGATGAAGAAATTGAGGCATAGTTAAGTAATTTACGGCAGGTCACATAACTACTGAGTGGTATATATCCAGGAAATATGACAAACTCTATACTTTTAATCATTGTCCACATATTGCCATGTGGAAAATGTCCACAGGATCAAAAATCATTTTAATTTTCTTTGAAATAAGGTGTTCTAATGTCACTTAGGAAGCCTAATCATGTTGACTAATTGAGGGGTTGCTGGTGCTTGTGTACTTCCCACTAGGCCCTAGTTTGGTGAATGAGGGGATGCCAGTATTCACCTAATTTATCAGTGGATTTTGACTGAAATTTAATAAATATGCACAAAAAAGTGTTTTTTAAAAAATTACAGTATATCTGACCCAGGCTCAAAAGCACACATACTGACAAGTATAGATGTTCCCTGTCAACATACGTTGTGAAATGTTGGAAAATTTCAATTATCATGAAATAACTGAAGTTCATATAATATACAAAATTCAAAAAGAAAGTTAAAGACACCCTTTGAAAATCTTTGCAAGAAGAAAAGATAACTATTGGGTATTGAGCTTAATACCTGGGTGATGAAAGAATATGTACAACAAACCCCCATGACACATGTTTACCTATGTAACAAATCTGCACATGTATCCCCAAACCTCAAATAAACGTTAAAAAAAAGAAAATATTTGCTAGAGGTCAAGAGCTTAAACTAGTCCTTGCAAAAATGTAGGGAGGTTACTAATAATTAGTATGTGCATTTCACAGGGAAATATTAATTCCCCTGTATAGACCAGGTGCTCATTATGATTAAGAGCTGGTAACCATGGAAACAAACAGCATGAAATTTATAAAATTAAAGACATGCTGGATAGAAAATGCAAATAGCCTAGGAGAGTGAATCTTTCCCTGACCAGTCTTAGCCTGATTTCCCTTGAATTGAAAGACTTATGAAATTTCTGTCTCGCCATTTTTTGAGTAAAATCACTCAATTTGAGAAACTGAATTTACACTTTGGATATCTCACTTTGTTCATTTGATAATGCCTTTTTGAGTCAATTTAGACATGTTGCAGTGTATATCAGGCTAGAATTTATTGGTTAGCAGTATCTAGGAAGTGATTACTTTTAAATTGATTCTGGAAGCTTGAATGAGTACTTGAACCTTTTATGTAGACATTTATTGTGAATTTCCAGTTGACAAATTGTAAGTGATCAGTCACTTTTAGTTTCTAAATTTATTTCTCTGGCTAAATCACATAGGTGGTCCAGGTAGAACACTTTATGTTATAAACATCAGTTTCTGTGTCACGGAATGATTTATTTATCTATGAAATGGTGAGCCAAGTGGCAATAGTAAAGTTTCTTTACTCTTGCTTGTAATATTTTGATTGTTTATAAATCTATTCCCTGAGACCATTAAGACAACAGACTACTTGTCTGTAAATACTCTAAAGTAATGTTGTTTGAATTAAAAATCTTTATAATTTTTAAAATGACAAAAGATCTTACTTTCTGCAAGAATAAGTTTACTCAAGGAGGTTGCCAGATTTTCCATGTAACTTTAAAGTCAAATTCTTTGTTTTAAAGGTGGAATAGGTTATATTAAAAAGATTGCAACTGGTTCAATTGAGGAAAAAGTCCTGTACAACGCTATTTATAGTTTCATTTGATTTTGATTTGGACTCATTTTAATGCATTTTAAGCTCTCGTTTCTCAGGAGAGTCAAAATAAGTAATTGACCTCAATCTGACAGCCAGAATGAAGCACTGCTTTTGTGAGCATGCCTGTCAACACTCGTGAACATATGAAAGTGAATGTGGTGGCTATATAAGGGAAGGGACATAATCCTTTCATCTGGCCTGCTTCAGTAACTCCTTAGTAGAATATCCTACGTAACTTTGGTGACCAGACATTAAAAAGGACCTATACAGACAGTAGAGGATCCAGGGACGAGTGACAGAGTTTATTCAAGTTATCCAAAATTGGTCCTAGAA